TATAATAAGAATTCAAATCTCTACTATTTCTGATATATTATGACACATTTATTTTCATATTCATTCTGTTTCTTACCTAATACTTTACTCGAGATTTACTTATCTTATTTTACGTAGATAATATAGTAGGTCCACATCACCTGTAAAGTTGCCAATTTTTTTAAACTTACTTTCAAGTAAAGATACGTATTTATGTATGTATCATGCTAAGTTTATACAAAAAATATTTTATTTTCGGTTTCCCAACTGTTTACAGACACCGATAAATCCGGCGACGTTCTCTATTGAAACTGTTACCAACCAGTGGGAGTGTCGTCCCAAACAACTTGCTCAATAAACACGTAAAAATTTGATGGAAGGCTTCCATGCAAGCGCCTCAAAAAGATGGGGAAGGTTTTGTAAGCTGGTATCTTTACTAAATGTGGATTATCCTCTTAAATTCAGGTTAAAGACTTTGAGAAAAAGCACAAATAAGGAAGCTAAACAAATTTAACGTATTCAGATAAAAAAATTCTTACAAAACTTCGGAGTCCAGCAACTGATTTGTCTATATATCGTGCAAAGACATTTGTTTTTCAATCCTCGACTTTGTGGCTGCGTTAATGGGTTTGTAAATTGAATTACATGACAGTATTCATCTGTCCCAGGGCCGGTAATTCCCTTTTCCTTTCTAATTAAAACGACGGTATTTGACAAGTCTTGACCAAAGTTCTAAAAATGAGTTCCCAGTGCTCTTAGTAACAGGTGTTTTTGGAGAGATTGAGCTTTAGCCAGACGTAACTGAGCATCTGCAAACTAAAAAATCTTATTTTGTTCTGTTTTGTCTTGTTTTGACAGCACGGGGTGTAGTGCGCCGGAGGGCATTCCGACATATGCAAAACAATGAACGTCGTTGTTGTTGGTTATCATCATTTGCATCGTGCGGGAACGTTCAAGTGTCTCGAATGTCGGCTTTCAACTTTGGCGTGACTTCAAGAATGGGAAAAATCATTCCAATAGGTATCTGATATTTCGACTTTTCATCACGGACAAACTGCAGTCGCTAGTAGCTAATTGTCGACGGGCCTGCACTGGGGTCCTAGAGAATCGAGATTGTGGAGAATACACGATATTGTGAGCTGAAATCAAGCTTTGTTTCTAAACGATGAATCCCAGCTGCTTTCGTTGTAATTTGAAATGCATTTTCATGGCGGTTCTTCTAGTTTCGACTTCGACGTTACTGTTTTTGATATTCAAGGGGGTCACGCTACGAAGCACCGTCGTTCGTATTCGTCGCAGCAATGTCGCCGTTTTAAATACAACTAAACTGGGCAGAACTGGATGGCGCGAACACAAATTTGACATGCGAGGAAATGATGTTATGGTTTTCTTGCATATTCAAAAAACTGGAGGAACCACTTTTGGAAATCACCTCATCAAAAACTTGAATATAGAAAGGCCATGTGCTTGTTCAAAGAAGAGATCAAGCCATTTGCCAAGAAAAACATGGTCTCAAGTATGCCATTGTTTTCGACCAGGTTCTTCTAGTATTTGGCTATTCTCTCGATTCCATTTAGGCTGGGTGTGTGGACTCCACGCTGATTGGACCGAGCACAAAGAGTGTGTTAAAAAATATATGAACAAACGTGAAGGCCACAATAAGCTAAGGAAGTTCGTGTACATAACGATGTTAAGGGAACCGGTTTCGAGATTCTTAAGTGAATTTTACTTCGTTGTGAAAAAAGGTGAAATGTGGAGAAGCGCAACCCTTCGATGTAATGGGCGATCCCCTACCAAAGAAGAACTTCCCCCGTGTTTCGAAAGGGAAAATCTGAGCGATATTACGTTCAAAGAATTTATCGGCTGCCCGTGGAATCTTGCTTTCAATCGTCAAACACGAATGCTGGCAGACTTACGCCTGGTGAATTGTTACAACACAACAGGAATTTCAACAGAAAAACGAGGAAACGATATGTTAGAAAGTGCTACGCGTAATTTGCGGGAAATGGCATTCTTTGGCTTGACAGAGCATCAAGAGGAAAGTCAATACTTGTTCGAGAAAACATTTGGATTAAAATTCCACGATCCCTTTACACAGTTCAACCCGAGCAAGACAACCGCCGGAGCTATGAGACCCAAAATCAACAGCTCTATTTTAAGTCATATAAAATCTTTGAACTCACTAGATTTAAGGCTTTATGCGTTCGCTAAAAACTTGTTTTTTAAGCGTTTAAAACGTTTTAAGAGGCGGATAGAATAAATATGAAATATAATAAATCATCTTGAATACAAGATTAAGGTCAAGGATCGATAAGAAATTCAGTATTGTGGTATGTTTCGCTCAATTTTGATGATAACAAGAGGACATTTTACTGAAGAGAAGAAAATCAAAAATTACAAAAATATCTCTCAAAAGGGGATATCTAGAGGTCAACCCTATATAAAAGATTCCCCGACATAAAGAAATGAAAAGGTAAACCAAAACATTATATACAGATAATTAAAAACTATTTACCACCGTTAAGCGTCATTCGTTTTCGCTATAAATCGCCTTTAAGATCATCTGAGTTGGTGAGGTATAGTTTCTTAAAGTGTGTAGTTTATTTGAAAGTGACCTACGGTTTGTGCAAACCCTCATAATAGCAGATGTGTTGTTGTTTACTGGGCAGACGTCAATGCGCTCTTTCCGTCGGCACTTCCGTCGTGCGCGCCGAAAAGTGTCTTACGAAATTTGCGGCTTCGCTCGTCAATCTTGTTTCACTGTCAGCAGATTTCCGTCTATCTAATACGGGAATGTCCGCAGGAAATGGCCCATTTTTTTGGACGATAATTTCCCAGATTGAATTTTTAGTGATTCCAATGTCTCCTTTCGCCTTGGCTGTATGCCCGGCAGCCACGCACGGTGGTAATACAAATGGACTGTTCTCTTCTGACGCGCTGCTTAGCCCCGAGGAAAACTGAAACTCTGTAAGGCAAGTCGGTATCATCAGGGTTGCTTTTCAAACTCCTTTCTCCGCTTTCTCGCGATATATCTGTAATATCGTAATGCACTTTTTCAGCGTTGAACAAAGGCAAAAAAAAACCTGAGCGTTCTACGAGGATTCGACTTCTTCTCAGTCAGTTGATTTTGCGATTTAATTTTCTGCTTCTGAGCTGAGAGAACTCCATTGTGGGCGAGTTAAGACAAAAAGTATAACTTGTTGTGAACGTGTGGATTGGTGAAACGCATACTCTTACGATAAATGAAATTCGAAAGCGTTGAGCGGATAAATTGTCATAATTAGATGAAGAATGAAGGTGGATTTAAACTCAGTGATTAGATAAGAATATATCTCAATTCATTTAACGACCACAATCAAACCCCTGATTTTCTCAGTTTCTTAATCTATCTTCTTACTCTATATTGCCATCTGTCACACCAGCTCTTCAATTGAGCTACCACCCTCCGCTAGATGTTTTCAATTAATATTTTTCGTCCGGTGTCTGTTGATGACAGGTTTGACTGTAGTTTCAGGGGTCGGTAGAAAGGTTTCCTTTGACGACCATATCATTCGTTTGGAGGTGATAACAGTTAAGATCGAAGAGGTAAGAAAGAAAATAATCAATGAATGATAAAATGAATAACAGGACGGAAGTAAAGGAAAGCATTCACCTCTCAGTTTTTTGACAAAAAGAGAAAATCCGGATATTTTGAATAGCAAAGATAAGCTAATTCTAGGGTTTCAGTAATTACCGGCAGATTGATGCGAGATAAAACAGTTATTATGGTCCTCGATCTTTCCTCGCCTTATCATGTGAGCACTGCTCTGCTGCGCTATCAAACTACTGCAAGCCTGCGAGCTCGCTCTTATTGGCGCTGTGCCTCGAACCAGTATGTTTCAAGCCGACGAGTGATGTAAGCACTTGTGTGTCCAAAATCCAAAATCGACCATTACTGTCCTAAATCGCAAATCGGCCACTAGTGTCCTAAATCCAAAATGGACATCTGGTGTCCTAAATCCGAAATCGGCCACTAGTGACCAACATTTGCAAATCGGCCACTATTGAGTGTCCAAAATCCACAAACGGCCACAAGTAACCAAAATTCAAAACCGGCCACTTGTGTCCAAACTTCGGCCAACAGTGTCCAAACATCAGTATCGGCCATTATAGTTCATCACTAAATTGTCNCGGGAAAATATTTGTTTTAAGAACATAAAATTCCCGCGGGGCAACTATCAGCCGATAGTTCCTCGACAGAAACACTATTGTGTAACTAGTGTCCAAAATCGCAAAATAGCCACTTGTGTCCATACTTCAATATCGGCCACTAGTATCTCAAATCGCAAATCCGCCGCTTATGCCCAAAATCGCAAGTCGGCCACTAGTGTCCAAAATCGCAAATTAGCTACCAGTGTTCAAAATCGCAAATCGGCCTCAAGCGTTTAAAATCCAAAATTGGCCACCAGTGTCCAAAATCGGAAATCAACCACTATTGTCCAAAATCAGAAATCCATTTTGTCAATAATTTGTTGATTAACATCTTTTTACTAATGTCTTTCACCTTCGATGCGTCCACTCCAAGTTTTTCATATTTTATCACTGAATCATATATTATATAAAAAATATGCTAAGGAAGTAAAACTGTTAAACAAAATATTTTTTATTTGGAGACCTCTGAATTCTCGGACACATATTAAGTTTCTAGCTTTAAGCTAATCATGTCGACATCTTTAGAACTATTACTTGTAAAAAAAATCGTACATTCACTACATTCTTAGAACTCAGTTCTAAGACTAAAACTAAATCTGTACTAAATTATGCAATTGTGTCAAAATTGTATAAAAGAATTTTTCTGGTTTTCCTTTTAGATTAACTGATGATTTACAGATACAATTTCGCACCTACCATTTCAAATAACAGTATTTACATTAAATTTGGGTACAAAAAGTTCTAAAACGTCATAACGGCCAGAATAATTATCGAATTTATTTTACAATTCTGGATCTTGAAACGTAAAACACTTGATGCAAAATGGTTAATCTTCTACACACATGGGATAGATTTCTCATAAATAGTTTACTGCAATGCCTGAAGACCCTGAACGTCAACTTAAATGGTCTAGTTTAGAAGTTCAAGTCAAACCCTTGCGGTTTTATCTCATTTCCCCTTTCAACAAAAAACATAATTGTAAATCCTAGATAAAAAAAAAATACTTCCCTGTCAGACGAAATTCATTAATAAAACTTTATCGAGTCCTTATTACGAACATAAAAATATATTTAGCAATGTGGCTAAAATAATCACCTTAATCGTCACTATAAGAAATATGACAATCTACCGTCATTTATGTTCAATAGCTGTTGTTATGGATACCACTAAGTAGGCCAGATACAGTGTTAGAAGATACACGCCATATATCCGGGGCACTCTGAACCCCATTAATGGAATGCAGATGGCCGAAGAGCCGAGACTGGCAGCTAGAAATGCAGCTGAGATCACGTACTGGTTATATTTGTGACGTAACTAGACAAAGAAGAAAACCTGTTAGGATACAGGGATTCAGGCCAAGGGGGAGGAGTAGATATTTAATAGAGCTTTAATTCCACTATCCCCTCCCTCAATCCTAAGGTGCAAGAGTGCCGCATAACGTTGAGAGCGAAGTAACTTTGACAGGAGGGTGGGGAGGTAAGGGGAAAAAAAGGTGAGGTTTGCAACTGAAATAGTTTGTGCGAGAGCAGTCTTACGCCGATGATGCAGAATGTCGCAACTGCTGGCTGACACGTGAAAGTTATCAGAGTATAAGTAGATACTTACAAGTATTGCATGTCCATGTGACACTGTGACATAAGTACATGATATACCAATACCTAGTAACATATCTAAACAAATGATAAGGAAACTTTTCTATTCAAAGGCAATACAGTGCTGCTTCATATTTTCCCTGATGAGTCTACACTATTTTACTAATGTGAGCGAAAACGTACTGAATCCGTAAAAAAAGAACAAGCTTTTCCGAGGCATGAATCCCAATAAGGCCAGTAGGATACCATAACCGCAAACGCTGTTGGCGAATCACAAAAAGTAACTCTTTCAAATCCACCGCTGCGCGTGTCGTAAAAGTGACAAGTTGTTGAGGTTTCATTCACGTATAAGCCAGTCAGAAAATAAATAAGGATCGCTTTTTACCCCCAACGCTACTAGTGCTTCTGTAGTAGTAACTTCGCAGAATCATAAATCTTAAATGGGTGAAGAACTCATTAAAATCTGATATTGACAAAGTTTCCCTCGCTTGCAAAGCGTTTGCACGCTTAGAGTACCTCACTGACAATGATTCACACTCCTTACAGAAAGGATACTTAACAAAGGACCCCCAAAGCAGGCTGATACAGCCATACGACCAAACCCCTGCCTTGCCATGGCCGTGTTTGATATAAGGTCTACAAAGATAAAGTAGAAATACTACAATACAAGATAAAAAGCAAGGGTTACGATTTAGTACTTGATGAACAGATCTTTTTGGTGCGGACCTTTTGATCTATAGAAAAAGGTTACGTCTCTTTATTCTTGTTTTTCTTGTCTCTTTTGTTTGTTTGTTTGTTTGTTTTTTCAGAAGAGACGTTCTCTTAAATTCTCTGGTGAGCAGTGTTTCGAGAATTGCCGTACTCCTTCGCATTGAAACTACATATATGTCAAAGACACAAGAACATTTCTGATAGACTAAACTTCGAGCTTAATATACAACACTGTAGGTATGTAAAACTATTTATTTATGCATGTATGCAGAAAAAAGATTTCCTGAACTGATTTCTGCAGACATGAACTGATAAGAACAAGGTAAAAGTCAGTCCAAACTTACCACCTAAACTGTTTCCCCATGCAAGAAAAGTAAGGCCAAGAAGTGCATCACTTAAACCAAACACGATACCGAAAGTCTACAGATAAAAGAAGGGAAAAATTAAACGAAAGTCACAAGTCCAAAGAAAAGAAATTTTTCCATAAGATTTACGTCCGAGCGTTAAATAGGGCGCCTAAAATTGCGCCTAAGAATAAGTACTATTTGTATCAGTGTACGGTTTTTCTGAAGAAAGAATTCGCAAGCTTAACTGAAAACAAGACATCCACTGTACCTTGAGAAGGTTTACAATCTCATTTGCTGTGGTGTAAATCCAGACCACGGAAATCACAAACGCCAGGTAGGCAAACAACTGACGATAGATTCAAGAACGCAGCAAGACTAGTAAGTGATCAATTTTAGATCTTATATTGCTGTATTTATACCTGAGAGAACTGAAACTGGTTTATTAACGCTTTGCCTGAAATCTCCTGGATTCGATTTATGATAAGGGTGTGATCAGGAGTGGAAGTCCTTCCAACACGTTGTTTAAAGAAAAATTTGAAACGATTTCCTTATAATCCTGTATTATTCTAAAACAAAGCATTACCCTCGTAGGGAACCTACTCTTTTCGCTTTCTCTTTCTTTTATCAAATAATTGTATAGGCATAACGAAGTATGAGGTAATTTGGAAATCTAATCTTGCCAAACTTTCATTTTAAAGACCCGAATTTTACAGCTTTCAACACGTTCTTCGACATTCAATTCGCACTAACCTAGATATGCGTCACACCCGTTTGTTCACATTACAGATGTCTCTAAGAGTATCTAAGTAACATTTAACGCTTTGACTCCCAAGATCTGATAGTTGATTATCCCCTCTTGCTGCTACACACTTCCTTACGAGAATTTGGTGTTATATCGAGAGGACACCATCTACTTGATAAGTTTGAGTATTCTCATTACCTGTTTGCTGGATAGTGTGTGGATATTATAGGGAGAAGTTACATGTTAATCACTCCTGGGGCTTAAAGCTTCGAGTTCTTACCGAATGACCCCGAGGCCTCTTTTCACTCTTTGTCGTCATAGCTACAACCAAAGCTAGAAGCAGTCCAGCACAGAGAGCCAGGGCCCAGGCAGGAAATTTGCCACCAATTAAATGACTACCGGCTGAGAAAAAAAAAAAAAAACCAAAAAAACCAAAAAAACCAAAAAAAAAAAAAAATCAACAGTGTATGTGTATTAATGTCAATGAAATAAACCTCCAGTTTTTGTCACCCCAAGGGTTTCTGTTTTAAAAATTTCTCCCGTGAGAGAGTTTAGCACGGCAGGATTTCTTTGCTCTTTCGTTTTCACTTTGCTTTTCTTTCATCTAGCGGTCTGTTTCTTGTGAGTGAAACATATTCAAAGGTAACTATCCATCTTCCACGAACACGTTTGAGTGGGTGGAAGAGATCGACGAGACGGAAATTTCCCAAAGATGTTGAAGCGCTCTGCTAATTAATGTGAAGTAATAAAGGAAGAAACATCGCGTCCATAAGTGACTTGTCGTGAGACCACATCGCGAGACAAACAGTATCATAATGTTAAGTATGTAAAAAAGATCCTCGTGTTCTTACTTCAGAGGTAATTTTTGAGCAAAATCAGCAAGCTTTGGGGGCAAGAAATCCCTACCTTTTGTAGCCAGGACACCAAACACAGGCATTGTTATGCAATGTAAAACATTCAGCCATTTATTCCAGTTATGATCCTCTTCATCATAATCCACCACTGGTATGGTAAGATTTAAAAAAAATACAGCTGGAGCCTGCAATCATTGAGAACACAGCTCTTTGAATAAATAGGTATTTGCCTAAAGAATTCTTATGACAATATCTTGGAGGGAAGGTTGTCGGTTTCTTGGTTGTTAAATGTTCATTTGAGATCATGGCAAAAATCATGTCAAATTTTCATGTCAGTTTATTAATACAGATAAAAATGTCTTACCTTACAAATCAAAAATAATTTCTTGAAAATGTTACTTCTGCTCCAGTCCTCACAGTCAATTGGTTCCAGTCCAATAATAAATTTTCTCCAAGCAGTAACTTTCCTTTCACCTCCCAGAAGAGGCAAATCCTCATCTGAAGGAAAACATTCATATAAGTTAGCCATGGTTCAAATTCTTTTCATTTGCAACTGGAGGTTTATTACCTTAAGAATCTGGTAAGTTAGAGAAATGTAGTTGGTAAGTGTATGATTGTTAAAAATTTATGAAAGTGATGACCAAACCCTGTGCTTAAATAATTGATATAAATACCTGAATTGGCAGAATGCTGCCTGACAAGAGCTGGAGCATTTTGAAATGCTGGGGCTATGAGGGTTTTTTCCGATGAAATCAGGGCACCTACAAAGATGGAAAAGTACTTAATATTTGAATAGAGAAAAGTCTTCTTTGACATCCTCAAAGCAGATATCGTGTGACCTAACTAGAGACTTGCTTCAGAAATTAATATACTCAAGCTACAGTATGTATATCTAGAAAATTTGATGCTGTTCCACTGTAAGTTGTATTCCTGGGTAAGAAATTCTATAAAAAGTTGCCAAAGACCCGTCAGAGAAACCTTATGACTTTTTACCTCTATTTCCTGCAGCCAATAGATTAACTGGATGCTACGTGTACCACTAAATTGTCAGAAAATACCTCCGCTTTGCCTGTAAGCCCAAAACTAATTAATCAATAGCCTATCAAAGACACTTGTCTAAATATTTTATTGCAAGGCAGTGGTCCATTACATTACCTGAAACCATACTATTAGATAGAGAAGTGCTTTTGTTTCGGCAGTGGACATCAAATTCTCTTGTACTGATACTTAAATCTGTCCTGGATTGTTGACTAGCATTCAACTGTTTTCTTGTCCATGCTACGTTGTGCGTCTCAAAAAATTGTCCACTGGATTCTGTTCATTAAAATACAAATATACAATTTAAATCAATATGTCCAGGGTTTTTTTTTTTAATGTGTTTGGAAAGAAGACAAAGTGTAGACAATCAAATGTGAAGTATTCATTCAATAGTAAAATAATGTAATTTGGCTTGTAATGTTTTATTTAAATGTGACTGCACTCTCATGGGTAATAGAAATGCTGAAAACAAACCTATCTCTGGGTCAGGTTGTATTTCCACTCGCACTGCTGTCCTTTTACACCTCTGATAGACATAGCGTCCAATAATAACCACAGCGATGTACACAACATAAAATGCTATGAAACCTTTTTAACAGGGGAAAGATTATAATTGAGTAAAGTCAGAATTATCTTTTAACCCTTTAACTCCAAGAACTGATTAACAAGTGACTTCTCCCTAAAATATCCATACATTTTCCAGCAAACAGGTAATTAGAATACTCAAACTTATCAAGTAGAGATTTTTATTATGATCAAATACCAAATTCTTGTAACCATTTTACTAGGAAATGTGTAGCTGCTAAAGGGGAGAATTCACAATTAGATATTGAAAGTGAATGCATTACAAATGGATTTTCAATGGTTCCTTATAATCAAGCATTATCACTCCTTTGCGTTTCAAAAATTAAAATTAATGTAACTTAATTAATCATATGTTTCTTTAAACTAATGCAGAAAAACTGATAAACTGAGTTAAATTGCCATTATGTCACAAGGCTGTGGTATAGCAGCGCCTGGTGGCCCCTGGTGCCTTACTTTTGCTCTTGGGCGACTCAGGAATTTTAGTCTTTTCATACAAAGCATATGCTGGGCACCCTGGATTTCACAGTTTCAGAGCACTTGGCTCCATTCAATTTTCCTTAGAGCACAGCCTTGTGTCATTAATTTCTTTAAGATGTTGAAACAACCATTAACTAACCATGCTGGCCACAAAGAGTACATGGAAACAACATCAACTACAACACTAGGTACAACAAAGATAAAAAATCCTCCTTTTTGAGTAGAGAGAAAACGTTTAATATTTTCCATCTAGGTGGTTGAAAATTCAGAGGAAATTCTTAACTTTAAAGGTTCACCTTTAATATACTAGATTTAATTGTTTTTAGCAACTTTTTCAGAGTACAATATAATAAGCAGTAGAAATGCATGATCATAATGTTCAGTCATAATACTTGTCTTCAAGCTTTCACTGTGTCTTTAAGTTAATATCTTACCTATTGCCTCTTCCATAGTAATATTTTCCTTGTATAAGGTAATAAAAGTCCATGACATGGCTCCCAAGTAGAACAATACATCCCTGATGAAAGGACGGCTTGTCAGTTTGATTTCCGTTGAGATAAATGATATTACCCCAACAACCACTGTAGTTACAAAAATACCAGCACCTGAGCAAAACAAATTAAAATCAAAAGTTAAAAACATGCAATTCAATGTCTCATTTCAGATCTAATTTACTCCCAATTGATTGAACTTTGAAGGAAAACTGTGATCTTCTAGTTGAAAGACAATATTTTTAACCCTACTGATGACTTGACACTCGTATTTTTCTAATATTTAATTTTATCTGCTAATTCACCTTTATGGAACTACTAACAGTTTTTTCTTTCATTTTTCAGGACAGTCCATATCAATTTAATTGTATTAGACATCATTTTATTAAACCTCTGTCTGTATTACTAACATGCACTATTTCATCACTTTTGACATGAGAGCCTGTAGAGTCAGTAACATGACCTTTTGGTCATGAGCAAAACAACCCAAGGCACACAATGCATATGTTGCAGTTTAAAATTAATTAAGATTTAGCATGATTTCAAACTGGTTTGATTTGCTTTTTCCTTGATGTGTAAAGACATTGGTATTACAGCCAGGACAAAGGTATAAAACTGTCGATTAGTCAGATAAGAATCACTTTGACCTGAGATCCATTTAAACTTCCACACATACTTTCAGATGTTTCATGATATAAACAGCATGCAATTAAATGCATATTAATTAACTTCCAATCAAGGCCTTCAAATTAAGGGTCATCCCACATTGGATTTACACTTAGTCTAAAGATTTTGCAGAGCTTACCAAAGAGGGCTTGCATTCCAAGCTGTACTCCAGTTTGATTTTTACTCTGAGAATAAGCTGCCAGAGCACTAAAGATGTCAGGTGCACCATTGCCAAAGGCAAGGAATGTAACTCCCTATAGTTTAAAACTTTATTAAGGAAACCAAATCCTGGTTGGTCTAACCTCCCTTAGGTATCAGACCTTGAAGTGTTTAGAGGACAGTTCACAAGAGCCTACTTACTGGTGTACACCAAAAAAAAAGTACAAAACCCCACAACTACTTCACTTTAGATAATGATTTCAAGATTTCTATCACCTGAGAACTGACGAGAGAGAGGCCCAAAGCAACTGTCAGCCTATCTACCAGTTTTCCAAATCTTAACTACAAGGTAGAATTCCAACTAGTAAATTGATACTAACTCTGACTAATACTGTACTTAAAGTGCTGGTTTAGATGCTAAAGCTTGATTTAGTTTGAAAGAGGTAACAATGGAGATTGCATGAGTAAAGGATACAGCAATGTTCTGACTGATACCTAAAGTTTCACAAATCACTGCTAGAGATGGACAGAAGCTACAGGGGAAACAGGATATCTTAGATAACAATGAAATTCTCAAAGTTACATCTCCTAACAGTGCTTGACACCAGTGGTAGCCAACTAGCCACAGACTAGTAGAAATTCAGTTTTGGCTGGTGGTTTTCGATTTCCACTGGTCAGTTTGGCTAGAAAACAAACTGAAATTGTTGTAACATCTAAGTTGGCTAGACTAAGTTGAAAAGTTAGTGTTGAGCCCTGACTGAGTCAACACATTATTTTTCTTACTTAACATCTAGGATATACAAAGGTATGAATGTGAAAATCATTGATATTCAATTTGATAATAAAATTTGAAAGTATTTCAATCTCTAAAAACTCTTTAAGGATAGTAAAATTACTTCATTGGATGTAATAATTAAGTTGTTGATTACGTATAGAAGTTATGGTCAACCTTTCTTCACAGAGAGTGACTAAGGCCAGAAACCCAACCACCATGTCCAACCCACAACCATGTTCATGCAAGTCCACTGTTGTTTAACTGCTATTCAGGATACAGTAACACTTTCATGCTCAGTATCACCTTAGCAATTCTCCTTACTCTCTGTCAGATTACTTAATTTAAGTTTTGAGAATTTATTTTTGGATCAAATGGTCATCTCTTAATTGATATTTTTCTTTATTCTCATCACTTGAATGTCGGCTTGGTATTGAACAGATATTGTAAGGAGAAATTATATTCTGGTCACTGCTGGGAATGAAATGGTTAACATAAGTGGAACTAGACATAGTAGTTTTCCAACTTACTAGTCATCTGCTGTCAATCCAAGAGTGATGAATAGAAAAACCAGCCACATAAACTAGTAAAAAGAAGTTACAAAAATTGCAATATTCGCAAGTATTTTTTTTGTCTTTTAAAATTAATTATCTAATCAGCGTTTCCTGAGAGCTAGCTAATCCCCTGACAGTATTATATTTACCGGTAATTATTATAATCTTTAGTACTGTAAAAGTACAAGTACTCAGCAGTAAACAATAGCCAAGAGGAAGAAGTTTACTTGGAAATGAACAGTAACTGAACTGTATGTAATGAATAAATCCTTCAGACATATCACAACTTGGATCCAAACGGACAAACTTGCAGCGGTATGAACTGTTTATGTGACGCACAGAAGAACACTCCTGTCAATATAGGAAGAACCAATAAAATAAGCCAGATAGTAGGTAATAACTTTTGCAAAACCTTTCAATGAATAATGCTGCTTTGAACCATACTAAAGTTTTAAATCAGCTACAGCACTCATTGGAGCAAAATCTAACCAATTTAAAAGAATGATTGAATATGGTACATTACCAATCCTGTTGTTGAATACAAAAAGATGTTCCTATTTGTTATGGGTTTCAGGGACAAAGTAGAAACCAAAAATGTCCAATAGGGGTAAAAACTCTGCTTTTGCAATCAAATCTTTACCACTAAAGTAAAAGAAACCCTTGACGAGTTTGGGCTGGTCACTAGTGCGTATCTAACTCAGTGGTTACCAGAGCACCACTGAACTTCATTTCCTCATGTGAGACATGATTTTTTTGTTTGTTTGATGCACTAATTAACAGATGATGTCATCTTTCTTAAATCAACCACTGATTATTCAACCTGTTTCCTTATATTTTCCTCGGCAATTTCTCAAGCTGTCAGCTGCTGCAAATTTCAATGTAATAACACGAGAACTACCAAGCAGATAATTAAATGACTTTTAAATCTGTGACTAATGAAGAGAAGTTTCAGCCAAAGCTCAACTCCAAAATCAATTTTGAGCATGTTATGTTAAGGGATTTTATAAAGTGGCATATGAGATCCTTATGCTGAATTGCATTGGTACACATGAGCATTAATGATTTTTTTTTTAATACAGGAAATCTGCTGTCTAAATTTGTTTAATAACAAATCATCAGTCCAAAATTCTGTTTAAGGTGACCATGTCATTTACGTGACACTGTTACTCAATGCAAGGTTAATGTAAGAAGGTTATATTTAGCAATTTACTCAATAGATTAATAACATAAGGCAATCAAGAAAAAAAGGCAAGTACCGGTACTCATGTTATTATTTTCGAAATGGAATGAGAGCTGAGCAATTTTTCAGTTAGAATTTAGAATTTAACAATGGCTTGTCAGATAATTATAGTTAGCATTCATATTCGTAAATAGGTACTGAAAAACCTTTTTTTGGGAGTATTTATCGTTAAAGTTTAAAGTTTTAACCATATTTATTACGTAAAGCTTCACGATCTCTGAAATAAACTTGGTCCTAGCTGATTCGTTCTACTTGTCTACCCTCATTTTCCAAGGCCTATCGAAATTGCCTAGATGTAACCTTTAAAGTTTACGCATCTCTACTACGTACTGCTGACCTGTTGTTGATTTTCAGCTGAATCTGCTTTCAAAAGCTTTCGAACGTTTCCAATACCATGCCCAAGATGTGAAGAAGTTCTCCCAGGATGCTGTGGTCGGAAGTACCACAAAGTCGCTTGCAGTGAAAAGAGAGAGATCGTCAGTATAAGTGTCCCAAAAACTGTCGAGGACGGCTTCGGCTTATTTGTTCTTTAAAACGTTCTCTAGCTACAAATTTTGCGAAGCTGATTGCAGCGATAAAAGGATTTTGCTTCACTTTCATAGAAATCTATTATAATTGAAAGATGACGTATGTATTCACTCGAGGCAGCAGTGTGTTCATCAAACAGTAACTGTAAGCAAATATCGTGCTTTCTATTTCTAAATCAGGTTTGTGACAAAAGCGCTGTTATTAGTCGGCCGTCACGTGCAATGGGGAATACCTCAGACACGTAATAATTAAGGCGCAACTTTGTCTGCACGATTTCGAAAATGGCGGATGTGTCGAATGTGTCGAATGTGACAACAATCTGTGTTCGCCCGTTGCGGTGGTCTCTATGGACCTCTCCAAAGCGTTTGACGTTATTCAGTATCCACTCCTTCTTTCCGAGCTCAAGGCCTACGGTATGGATGACAAGAGTGGCGCTCTAATCAGGAACTATCTCTCTGGTAGATCTCAGAGAGTGAAGATAGGCGGCAACTTCTCCGCTTGGAAAAGCGTTGAACGTGGGGTCCCGCAGGGGAGTGTGGTAGGTCCAATGCTATTCAACTTCTTTATCAACGATCTCTTGTTTTACGTCAAGGGCGCCAGGCTGAACGCTTACACCGATGATCATCAATTAGTCAAAATCTTTGTTTTTTAGCGTGCCTACGTCAATGACACTCGCTATGTCAAAAGCATAAAATACTTAGTAATTGACATAGGAGTACTCGAACCATATGCGGAAGACATGCATAATAGCAATTGCAACTGTCTCAATGATACAGCTGAAGCCGTGGTCCCCAAATCATTTCCTCGCCTAGATTTTTTCTTTTTAATAGCTTCGCCTTTTTCTGTACATGGCCTTATTCATGGTCATTGACTCACGGAATAGTCGCGAGCTATAACCTATAAATACAGGTGTTCAGCGATGACTTGTAAAACTCCCTGAAGAACTTTACGACGGTTACACAAAACGTGTTGGAGAATAAGAAAAAGTCTCACAACAGCTGTACGAAAACTACTGCTCATTAGCTCAGTTTCAAATTTCTTTTCTTTGTTTCATTAGTATGCATGGTTCAATAATAAAATTGTCATGTCGACGGTTTAACTAAAATATACTTAGCAATTCACGCAAGCGTGCAACCTTTCTTTTCTTTCCCGAAGCAGTCCTCAAACCATGCCGTGAGGACTTAGATAATGGCAACTGTCTCAATGATATATTTCTTCAGGGTCAAATTTTTTGTCAGTCGAGTGTTATATAAACACTCTTTTTTTCTTATTGGACCCTTGTATTTTGAAAATTAGTCACCGCTCCGTTTACCATTGGTAGGTGTTTACTATGTGGCTTTCGGCAGTTGGGCATAATCATCCCAGCCTGAGTATAAAATTTTGTTTCACAGCCCAGTTTGGTGGTTTGATGATTTTCAATGCACCTCATTTTCTAAAGCATCATATAAAATCAGTTTTAGATCAAATTCTTTGTGTATAATAAGTGCTTTGGGCACAACATTAGGAAAACCTGATTACATTTGTGTTCATTCTAAATAAACGTTATTTATATCTTGATGTCTATGCCCGCTGTGCATGTCTTATGATTCTTAGTCTCTTAGTTATTTGGGAAGATATCCTTCCAGATTTTGTCTCACCATCTCCCTAATATTACTTTCTATCCTCTTTTGGCGTGTTTCAGATCCACGTTTCCATCGTAGCAAGCTTTCATATTTGATCACATTGATACCGCAACCTAGCTCATCAAGACGGCAAATTAACACTTTACAAATCTAAGTTCGTCATAAATCTCAAAAGTCAAGAAGAAAGTCTCGTGTTCATATAGTCATAGAATTTCGATTGAATGTTTGAAGTTACGACAGAGATTACAATCTTGATTCTAACTCAGCGGCCTCATCTTTTGGCTCCTTGTCATGTCTCTCGTTTTCTTCTTTTTGTGTTTTGACGCAAAGACTGGTGGGTGACCGGCCCCTTTTTCTGTACACAATTCTTTTAAATTCGGTATTGATCTTGCTGCTTAAGAAAATGTACAGCCATGGGTTGATGGCGCTGTTGGCGTGACCAAACCAAAAACACAGAAACGTGACAATCGGCCAAAGAGTTACCTCAATATTCCATGCTTCCATGACTATAATCACGTGAACCACGTGTGCAGGAAGCCAGCAAAGGGCAAAGGCAAAGGTAACAATAATGAGCATTCGAACCACTCTTTTCTTGGACGTTTCCTGTTGGTTTCGAATCGAGTTTTCATTTCCAGGTACAACATGGAACCATAACTTCCATGCAGCGATTGCATGAAGGGAAGAGATGACGATCAAAGGGATCAGATAGTGGATGAGCACAAGGTAGAGGAATATTCCTTGGATAGCTTTATCTGGATCACCCAGAATATAGACAGATAGCATGCATTGGGAATTGTGCTCTTCCAGGTGTTGAGTAGGCAGGAATATGGCCATAGAGGCCAGTGACCAGATCCAAATAAGTGGCACTGTTATTTTATACTTTCGGAACCAAAGATGGCGGCGGAGTGGATGAACAATGGCATAGTACCTGTCGATTGCCATAAATGTCAGG